AGTATATTTCAAAGAAATGCATATGCTTTTTTTTGTGCATGAGATAGAAGGGAGTGGTGGTAAGAAAGGCAACATTTATCCATCAAAACTAGTTATGAGAAAATTGTGGAGGCTCCAGTCTTAACGTGAAGAATTATCTAGAATTGTAACATATAAAGGAGCCTAGAAATGTAACATACAGTATAAAGGATCCTTGAAACATCTGGCAGCTCTCAGTTATACAAACAAAGAAACTAGTCTTTGGCATGAATGCACATTTTTATTTTATTTTTTTAATAAACGCATAATCTGAACATATGATCCATCTAAGAACTTGTCCTAGTTCACTTGTGCATATGAAATATGGAATGCATCTAGTGTATTAAGAGTTCCTGCTTTATAGATTGCTTTCATTTCTTCCTGTTTATATGCAGGGCTTTTTTAATGTGATTGGCAATGTTCAACTTCTAAAATATGCAGTCATTTATTCCTCTTTTCATTCCTCAGATTACTTTTCTGATTACTGTTTCATAAGGAATGTGTGCATGACTAGTTCAGCACATCGTGCTAAGCCCTAATGTGGTTTGTCTGGTTCTAGCTTAGCATATTGTATGTGTTTAGCTATTTTGGATGTCTTCAGGAGGAAAGGAAGATAAAATAAATTATTAGTAATTATTATAATAATAATGCTGCTTTGTAAACATTGGTGTATGGCCTAGCATGATGTATAACTCAAGTCAATTGTTTATTCAGTAATCCATCATTAACAAAATGAGGACTTGCATATTCCATTTAGGACAACTGGAGGGTTCCATCTAATGATATATGAATAAAACATCTCCCTTTTCTCCTTTTCCCTGCAGTCTCATGCCCCCAGATTTCATCCAGAGAATCCTGTAGCCCTGCAGAACAAATTTCACACCCATTCAGGGAGTGGAGAGAAAGAATTTGTTCCACTAGCATTGTCCTGACTGCTAGTGAGTGGACTCAGTTTGAGTCCATTACTATTATTTTGTATATTTAAAATATTTTATATTTGAAACAATGCCAGGTCTGCTTTATTGACTGAATTGTTCGCTATAGATATTGTTATATTACTTTTTCATCTCATTTATTAGGTATTTCAAATGTGTTGGATATATTGAAATAGTTTGCAATTATACAAGTGATTTGCCTTGTGTCCTTAACTTATATATTTTGTTCTGTAGGTTTGAAAAAAATGCTTTCCTTCTATAATTTGTACCTCCAGGCCTAAGACTGGAAAACCAAGTTTGAACTGTGTCTCTCTACTTTTCATAAACAAACTATACTGTAACTCTAGGTTATCTATTAACTTAGAGCAAAGATGTAGATGTAGATAATTTTGCTTTATGGATGAGGGATATAGCAATTGGTCTAGGTAGCTGTTGTTTTTGTCTGTTTCCTCATTCTGTCTGGTAAACCATATTCTTCCTGGATGGTTATAGAGGTTTTTAAAAAATGAGAACTTTGGTAGATGTGTGTGCCAGCTGCATTCCTTTCTGGAAGATAATGATCTTAAAATTATGGTGCATACTCTGGTAACCTCTAGGCTTAACCATAGTAATGTGTTCTACATGGGGTTACCTTTGTATCCAATGTGAATACTAAAATTGGTACAAAACTCAGCAGCCAGGTTGGCCTTGAGAAAAATGTGATGAGACCAACATGAAATCTGACCTGATTTTTTGTTTCTGTGCAAAATACGCGTGTACACACACCTTTCAGTCAATTTTTGACTCCTGGTGACTACATGGGCTAGTCCCTGCAGTTTTCTTGGCAAGGTTTTTTGGAAGTGGTTTGCCATTGCCTCCTTTCTAGGGCTTAGGAAGAGTTGGCTGGCCCAAGGTCACCCACCTGGCTTGGTGTCTAAGGTGGGACTAGAACTCACAGCCTCCCATTTTCTAGCCTGTAACCTTAACCACTACACCAAACTGGCTTTGTTTTTGTTTCTGGGCAAAATGCAAAGTACGTTAAAGTACTTTAAAACCCTATATGGCACATATCCAGGCTTCTTAAGATAATGGTCCTTTCCATAAAAGGTCCATTCTCTGTTGCCAATAGCTCTTTGGAGCATACTCCTTGCAGAGTTAAGGGGCCTAACGTCTTTATTTTCTTTTTAAAAGATCCTTAAAATACATAGTTTTGTTCAGGATTTTATTTGCTGATTTTAGTTGTTAATTTTAATTATTATTGATTTCTAACTTTTTTTGCTTGCTATTTGAACAATTTTTAATACCATGATTTTAAATTTATTTTTTTATTGCAAACTGCTAAGAGCAGTGGTCAGTGATACATCAAATTAAGCAAATAAACAAAACCAGGTTTGCCTGTTTCCCTGGCAGCCGTAAGGGGGAAAAGAAGGGGGTACATTGTAAACAAACAAGATGCTGAAGTTTTCGGGGTGGGAAGAAGATTGCTTTGGGACCAGAAACCAGGTGGGAAAAGAGTGCTACTGAGAAGAGCTTCAGAACTGTGAAGGAAGGAAAGCAGAAGAATGAACTTTGCTCTTGTTTCAAATCAACTATACCAAAGATAGGAAAAAACCCTCCCTCAGCCATCAAAGCCAGCCTATGTCATGCAAGGCTCAGGTCCACAGCAGGTTCCAAAATGGCACAAAGCCATTGTTTGGAGATGTAATTCTATACAGACTACCTGGGAGTATCTCTCATTATTCTCAAGAGGCTTACACCTGACTGTAAAGGATCCTCGATGCATAGAATTACACTGTGACTAGGCTAGCTTATTAGATTCTCATTCTGTTTTTTGTCTTGTATTGAAAGAATCATGATCTTTGTACTCATGTAGTAAGCAGCATTAGGCTGAAGTTTAAATTATCCACTTTTTTTGGAAAAAACAGCAAGAGCCAGAGGCTCCAGGGCTCTCAGAAAAGAGAAGAGATGGCCAGATGGCTGCAAGGGAGAGAAACAGAATCTGTCTGTTACTACAGTGCAGTGCTTTGGATTTGGTTGCAAAAAGGTGCTTCAGAATGCATGAAAATACCTGTCTGCAGCTCCTGAAAGCAACCTAATCTTTTCCTGGGATTGTGTCATATTCATGGCATAATTCTGTTTGGTTTTAGATCAGAGTTAAGAATATCATGGTGGATATAATACTCATGCTAAAAATAAATGCTCCTAGTCAAGTTTGATTCCTGGTTATTTCAGGGAATCAGCCATGTAGATTTCTTGGCACCAATATAAAAGTGGTTTTCTATTACTTTCTATAATTTTATTCAACTTTCCAATCTAGTTTGCAGCCTAAGTACTTCCTCCTAACCTCCTATCCAAGTACCAACCAGGTCCAGTCCTCTTTAGGACTTTATGAGATCAGCCAAGGTTGGCTAGCTACTGCTATTTAGTTAGGCTTCATAATGCTTGAATGAAAAGGCATGTTTTACAGATTTTAGAACTGCATGTAAGGGCAGTGAGAAACAGCTCATGGAACGTTAAGAATCTTAGAATTGCAAAATGTGTATATCTGCAAAAATATATATTTTGAATTTGCATAGAATAGAAGTTCTGTGTTGGACGTCATAGCTGATTCTGTTGCTGATATTCTTACACTGATAACACAACAGTATAGCAGTTAAAATAGGAAAAATTTAGAGTGGGGTCCTCATTTTTTTTTAAGAAGTGCTCCAGTAAATTCTCATGGAGCAGCAATTAATAATTAAGTATCGGCTTTAAAAATATGGAGATAGTCTACCCAAGAATCAGTTTCATGTCACAATTATTATTTGGAATCTCTTTCTTGTCAGGTAGTACTGCTGTTTCTTCAAAGTTTATATCATGAGCAATCCTCAGTCCTTATCCAGAAAGTAATCATCACTGAACTCTATAGGCCATACTTCTAACAAGCATTCTTTAAGACTGGACTGCAAAATATTTACCATTTACATTAGCTTAAGGCAATTTCAGTTATATCATTTTTTCTTTCGTAGATATAACAGGAAATGTGTGTATATTTAAAAAACAGCTCTTTTAAGGAAAACATTCAGATCTCAGTCTTCCTAAAATATAGCCCAGATTGGCTATGGCCTTTCTCAGATTGTATCCATTAATTTTCCACCCATTGACCGGTTCTGTTTGTATCTCATCTTTGCTATTTCTGAGCCTGTCACAGCTGAAGAAAGGCAGCTTCCTAGCAGTGTGGAGTTGAGATTCATTTCCTACAAGCAGCTGGCAAAAGCAAAACTGATACTGCTCTTCAGATGCATACTTGAGCACAAAAAGCTACATTTCAGTATACTTCTAATGAAACCTTCTTACCGTATATCAGTTAGACAAACAGTTGAAGCATCCTTTCTTCAAATATGTGTGTTGTCCACATATGTATGTACAGTATATGTTTGTATGTATACACATTCACAGACATATACACATACAGTACTACTAAAATATACTATTTTCCTTAGTAAAAAGACAGTTGTTGATTAAAAAAACAGATTCAATCTGTTTTTGAATGCATGCAATTAACTCAAATACTCTGTGGAAATTGGCAGGTTGATAATCCAATAAAAATAACAGATTAGACAGTAAATCCTTGAAAACATGGATATATTTGTCAAGCCCCATTCAGTTGGGAAGTTCAAGGAAGAAGGATAAACGATGTGGATTGCAGTAAGGTATCTTTAATGCTAATCTGAAGTACATACAGAATCTTTGATGACTTAGATGATTCTGTGCATTTGATTGAAAGAGAAGATAGAATTGAAATCCGTTAATCTTAGGTGGACACACTGAAATCAATCAGACTTAGTCATGGCTAATCTAAGTGTTCTTATTCAATGTACAATTAAGACAAGATACAGCCCATATTTCTGACTGAAGAAATCTGAATAGGATTTTTCCATGAAGAAAGGTAATAAATATATAAAGGGTATATTTAAAATTAATTAAGTTAGAATACTATTTTAAATAGATAAAATAATATTAAAATAATACACAGATTAAGACATATACCTGCATGTCTACCCATTTGTATTGCTTTTTCTTTTTCAGAGAGAGACCAAAGGCCAGTTTCTCATAGATCATGTTTGCAATCACTACTGTTTGCTAGAAAAAGACTATTTTGGCATTCGCTATGTGGATTCTGAAAAGCAGAGGGTATGTATACTAATTCTCACATAATTTATTTTAACTGATGTTATTTCTGTGAAACTGCTAGCTAGTGTACTTTCATTTCCCTGACACAAATGCTATAAATAGTGATGACTGAAGAGCTGAATAAATGTCATTTCTTTGAGCCAAAATGCATGTTATTGCCCGAGGATCAGCAGCCATTCAAGGCTATAATGTGAAAGTAGCTGTGTGCCTCTTGTTGTGTAACTTCTTTGATAATGGATATTTCTGTAAATTTGGAATGGGATTTCTTAGGCACCTAGTTCTAAGGATTACTATAGAGCAAAGTGGGCCTTTGCCAATCCCAGGTAAAGCCTTGCTAGCTTTATTAAGGCTTCAGGTGATTCCTGGTTTAGTGAGACATCCTTCAGCTTAGAATGTACTAGGTTCTGATTACTGCTTACTGGTACTTTTCATGGCTATACCAGTGGCATGTCTTAACTTGACTGAGTCATAACTTACATCTTGATTTACCTTAACAGGTATGACTTTGGCCTGCTTAAACTGAAAGAAAGTAATCAGAAATTGACTTCCTTTCTCCTATCCTGTTGTAATCAGAATGTTTCAACCTGGCCAACATGACTGGATTTAATTTACTTCAGTCCAGATCTGCTTAACTCAGCTCATTTTTTCTCTTAAAGGCCAGCAATAAAAGATGCAACCAGTGAGTTAGCCAATGTAGTACAACATTTTTAACTGCAAATAAATAAAAACCAAGTGCCAGAAGATACTTCAAAGAAATTGGTTGTTGATTTTTTTCAAGTTGCAACCAGTGAAAATCTTCAGATGCTTCCTAAACTTTCAAAACTAGAGCTACCAGATCTGTGTTGCAGAAATTCACACGATCAAATTATGACAGCATGGAGTTAGCATCTGTTGTATTTCTTTATTGCCATCTAATGGCTGTCTGGATTTTTTCAACCTAGATCTGGTAGCCTTTTTTAAATACCCTTCTCATCAAGAAAGAAAGCTTCACTGAAGCAGTATGCCTGGCAAGATGCACCAATAAATGTTGTTCAGTTATTTATCTATTAAAAGTATTTGCAAGTGGTGCTTCACAAAACGTGTGTTTGTATGAATGCACCATCCCTGCTCAAAAATTAAAGTAGACAGATGCTTTGAAAGCTCATATGGTTACTTCAAAGGCTGCCTTGGCTGTCTGCGATTATACATGCATAGCCTCGGTGTTTTGCTGGGAAAGTGGAAGTGTTCTCTGAATGTATACATGGAGACAACTTGGAGTAACCTCTGAAGCGGCCATATGAGACTTTAATGCTTTGAGGAAGAGTGCAAGTGCTTTGCTTCCTTGGGCTAACAAACTTTGCAAAGCACCCTTTTCAAATGCTTTGCCCTTCTATAAATTTACAAGATATACAAACATTGACTTTTGTGCTTCACGTGGCAAAATCACTAAAACTATTACCTTTGCTTAATTAGTGCAAAAACAGTGTGATGCTTTTGAAATGGGTAACAAAATCAATTACTATATTTTGATGCACAAATAAAATATGAAAGTAATAAAAATTGCTATAACAGAATATTGTTAGCCTACATCATCCCAATATTTCTGAAATGTGCTGTTTGACTTTCAAGTACAACAGAGTTTGCTTAATTACAGAATGTGCATTTCTAGAACATGCGACTCAACTGAGATTTATTGCTCATATTGAAGGATTCATCAGATTTATGAGTGTGTTAATCTATTGCTGAATTGCACAAAATCATGGGACTTTTGATGGAAGAAATAATGCACACAGCCAGCTGGATAGTGATATCTCAGTGTTTTTATAACAGTAGCAACATTTATCCTTTGAAACTGCTCTTTGTCAGAGTTTGATCTCTCTCAGTATCTCTTCGAGTTTTTCCTTGTAAAATACATTCTAATCCATGTCTAGACTTAGAATAAAATTGTCAGATATTCTGGAGAAGTGTTGTTGGAGTCCCTAAGACTAATCTCATACTTTGCTGATATCTAGAGTTCAGAAAATAAGAATAGCTTCAGGTTTCCTACTGATGCAGGGACACATCTCCACTTTTGTTGTCATTTGGAAGGGGGCATATCCATTGCAGAAAAGGACCAATGTTCAAAAATCTAGCTCATGCAGAAACTTTTATTTAGTTAATTAAATAATTCTGCAGAAGAGGATAGGAAGGTAAAGCCCAATTCTTATGCTCTTAACGTTAGCAGAATATTTTGACAACTCTTAATATTGGCTTAATTTGCACTAACGAAGAGCTAGCCTTACTTGTAAGGACAAGTAAACTATAGACTGTAGGCTTTTTCCCCCTGCTTCTTTCACATAGCATTATTTTTCAGCTGTTGTGACACAAGCCTCTGGGGGTAAGATTGAAGATGAAGCTGTGAATACTATGGTTTGTACTGCTGCATTTTTAAAGACTGCGCTGATTTTTTCCTCCTGTCAGTTTTGTATATGTATGATTTGTATATGGATTACATATTCCATATGAAGGAGACAGTGATGAGCAGATCATTACAGAGTTTCCTTTTTTTCTAGCCACAGATACAACTTCTAGTTATGAACTCAAACATCCATTAGTAGTGGAAAAACATTCTCCATAGATGTACTCTTATTGCCAATAATAACCAGCAATTCATACTGGTGTCTTGTTATTCATTCTTCTAATTTTGAATAGATACAGCACCATGGGAACTTCTTGAAACTTGAAGCCAGGGGCTGAAATCTATAGATATTAACACTAATTTCAGAAGCATAGTGACAAATGGAGCATGACACTAACCCACAGACCAAGAAAAACTACATGGAATTAAAGTCTAATTTTATTTGAAACTATAGTCATAGTGCCAAATAAACAGAAGTGTAATTAAGCTTTTAAAATTGGCTTAATTTTATGTGAGCTCAGAATCCCTCAGTGGAGAATTGTTCAAAGTTAATGAGATTTAGTATTTACACTTTGGGATTTCTATTTCTATTAAAACTTTTACAACAGCAGAACTCCTTACAGTTGAATCCCTAAATAAGTGCCATAATTTTTATCAACATTGACTCACTTTTTATTTTATATCATTTGAGAAAGTAGGTTAAAGTTAATAGTGCTTGCAAAAAAACCCATTAATTTTCAAGTCAGTCATGCATTTTTTCAGAATTTTCCTCCATTTCACTTCTCCCTTTGTTTTCTGCCTTGTCCTCTATTCCAGCAAACCAACAACATTCCATAGTTGCTGATCATGCTCATTCATCAATGTTGTTCTTTCCTACAGAGGCAACTGCAGGAGATTAAGGGGGTGTAAATGATGAAAGCAGGATTGTACCATTACAATGCAAAGTTCTGCCCATTTTGTAGGTGTGTCATGAAGTTGCACACATAGACTAAAGGACAGAGTATTAATGAAGGCTATGGACCCTGAGAACATCTTTGCTTCCCTAATGTTTATGTCATTTTCTGAAAACTCTATTGACACTTATATATAAATGACACTATGATACTATTTCAGATATAAAGTAATTAATAAGTGTGTGCCTGCATAGAAATAATAATATACTGTATAACTTTAATTAATTGTGTGGCTCCTATATGCCACTCAAAAGTCCTGTAAAAAGTTGTGCACTCTTGCTCTAGAGCAGTGTTCCTGAACCTTGGCAACTTT